GAGATCATATCAAAAAGCATTTTCTGAATCGAAATTTAGATACTTTTTCATCGCGGATACACGTACAAAGCTGCTGTAGAGCGTGTGGTGAGTATGTATATGGATGTTAGGAGAGAGCGGGATGAGGCAGTGTGAGAGTGAGTTCGGAAAGTAGTTTCATTCTAAAGGCAGTTGCATGAAACTAGGTACAATACTTCAACATGAACTGAAACCTGTCAGCTCTCCTATCCTTCGGTGAGTCTAAATTATGGGAAAACTCTCCAAACGAGGTCTATATATGTATGAGACGACAAGAAAAAAAAATACCAAAATAGTATAACATACACATAATCTATATATAGATATGTACGTATACATTAAAGAAAAATTGAAAATAAAAAATAAAATAAACACACAAGAGAACTCTAGGACGAAAAAGTGAATGTATACATTCACGAAAGAAACAGGAGTTGAGAATTAATAAGTTCTGACTAACCTTTTAAAAGAGAAACTAACTGTCGTCTAACTAAGTGAAAAGTAAAGAACGCTCGAAATGATCCGAGAATGAGATCTAACTAGACATCTATCTTCTAGAGTCGCGTGGAGGATCCTTACAAAATGAAACATGTGATAACAAGTGAGTTCGTGGATAACACTGTGTTTCGTGTTGTTAGTATTTTAAACATAGGAAGAACTGGAAAGTTTTACTCAGCTCTATCCCGAAAAATTCCTGGAAGTGTGGGTGTATCAGGTTTGTTTACCGTACGTCCATACAATATGCTTTTTTCTTTATTTGTATTGGTGTTTGATTATTTATAGATGAGGTATTAGATAAAACATTTTGTTTTATATATGATTTGCTCAGCTGATATCCAATAACAGCCTCAGCAAACTTCTGTGGATAACCATTTAATGACGTCATATTTCTAATTTGAACTAATTCTTTGTGTAATAAATTATAATCGGCCCATACAGTTAGATACAAGAGCCGAGAGTTAGAGCCAAGAGCCGGAGTCAAAACAATGAGCCATTTTTTTATTGGAAGATAATGTAGAGTCACTTGGGGTAATTATGGCCAGTACCTCAAATTTTCATAGTATTTTTAGCATATTTAAGCCGTTTTCAAATGGACATAGACGAAATTGACCATGTAGGTAGACCTGACTCTTGGCTATCTGTTTATGTAAAAATCTTCTTAAAATTCATTAGCCTTAATTAGTACTAATCAATTTCCAGTCCGTAGTCATCAACTGGCCATAATTACCCAGTTGGGGTAATTATGGCCAGTCCAGCTAAAATGGCTGGAAGAAAGTAAAACAACTTTTTTCAACGGTGAAGTCTCATGTTTTTAGTTAAAAAGTAGCCAGTTTTGTAGAGAATTTTTGGCTCTATCTTCCACACAAATTGCCAGTCTCTCGGACTTATCCCTAATTAATTAATTAGAAATTATGAAAATAAAAGAAAGTCGTTTTTTCTATATATATGCTGTGGGGTAATTATGGTCACTCTACTAGTTTTCATGGGGTAATTATGGCCAGTACGTCTAAATCACACGGAATACACAGAAAACAACTTTCACCATCTCTCAGAGGCCGATTTTGATACTATGTCAAATGACAAAATTATTTCGAATCTTGAACTTTATCACATATGTGAAAACTGGAAGCGAACGATTGAAATACATCTTTTACAATCGCTTTATAACCGGATTGCAGATGATATTCACTAATAATTTCTCGATATTTTGTTTAATAGGTTTGAAAAATGTAACGTCTAATGGTTGTAGAACATGGGTAGAATGGGGTGGTATACACAATAAAATAATATTATTTTCAATGGCTAATTCTGCGGTACGTACACTATGATGTGATGTGTGTCCATCTAATATTAATAAAATTGGTTTTGGCGTTGTGGCGGTTAATGGGATAAACATTTTTTAAACCATTCATAGAAAACAGTTTCTTCCATCCAACCTTTTTTACTCGTATTATAACCAGCACCTTGCGGACCTAAAACAGATAAGCACGATAGGAGGAAGCCCTGAGTGTACGAGAATTCTTTAGCTTACCATTGAGACACCAAGTACTGTACAAGTTTTTGGCCTTATAAATAGTATATGGTGGTAAAATTCTTCCGCTAGCACTAACACAAAATAATACTGAATAATATCATTTTCCACCTGTTCCCGCTTGTTTTTTGTATGGGAATTTCGTTGGACTGACAATAATCACTTTTCTAATATCTGTTCGATCACAAAACCCGGATTCATCACAATTAAAGATTTGTGAGGGTTTATCGATTAAATCATTATCATTTAAAACCTGTTCTAATAGTGTAAACCATTTATCAATTATTGACATTGTGATTTTTGAACGTGGTAATTGAAGGGGGATAGGTTTGACTGGTTTTAGTTCCGGATGTCGTACCATAAATGAAGAATACCATTCACGAGTTGGTTTCCCTCGAAGGAATGTTTTTCGAAGATCTTCTCCAAAACATGTAGCCATTTTAATTAATTCAGCAGATGTGATTGGTGCTCCCCATTCCTGAAACCAACAGACAATGTTAAATGAAAAAAAAGATATAGATGATCAACAGATGACTTACCTGTAAAACTGTTGCTGCACCAACCAAAAATGTTTCTTCTAGATCGGTAAAACGAGTAGGTCGTCCAGCATAACGATGCGTAGGGGGTGAATTAGAATGAAGTTGCAACGTCGAATACGGGATCTTGTACTTCTTTGCAGCGGCATGGATCGTACTGACTTCCGAAATCTCTTTCAGAGCGGCTTGAAAATCATCATTTGAATAACGCGACCCTTGGCCTTTTTTGACGTATGTTCGAGGCATTAAGATAACGTGACAGATTGAATTTATTGATAGTAAACGAAGTGTAAAGCACAGTACTGCTGTGCTCGTATTAATACGCGATGGGCATCTTTCCCGATTCAACCTGTCTTTTTTAAATTCAACAGCATCTTTTTTACATTCTCAATTAGAACAGTTTGGGAAAAACGTTTTGACCTTTATTGATTAGTTATTAATCCATAAGGAAACAGTTAGTCTTTCCATCAGCTTTTAGTTTGAGAATGATCTTATAGCAATATCGGCTGTAGAGCGTGTGGTGAGTATGTGCTGTAGACTACAGCAGCTTTGTACGTGTATCCGCGATGAAAAAGTATCTAAATTTCGATTCAGAAAATGCTTTTTGATATGATCTG